ACCCTCCAGGTCTGGACTCGAACCACAGTCTGGTATGTGGGAGTCCAGCACCCTTAACCACTATGCCACCCGCTGGCCCCTATTCTATGGCTTTTATAGAAGTAATTATTTATTTTATTTTATTATTATTACTACTATTTATTTATTTTATTATTACTGCTACTACTATTTTTTAATTTGAACAGAGAGAGACACAGAAAGAAAGAGAGAGTGAGAAAGCAAACCACCAGGTTCAGGACTCAAACCGTGGCCAGCCACGTGGGAGTCTAGCACCTTAACCACCATATCCCGTGCTGGCCCCTATTCTGGGACATTCTTAAATGGCTAAAGAAGAGTATGTGGGGCAAGGACAGAAACAGTGGAGCAGACAGCCTGGAGGCTGGACACTGTTCATGTTCAGGAAACGGAGAAGATCTCTGTGGTTGTCTTCTTCAAACGTTTGTCATGTCTCTGTCATGAGCTGTGCACCCCCAGGTGGCAGTGTATGAAAGTGAGCAAAACATGTGACCCTCCTGCTCTAACAGAGTGGGAAAGAACTATCTTTCGATACTGTATCAGTGCATAAATTTCTGGTGCTATGTTTAAAAAACGGAAATATAAATAGGTGGCTAAAGGGCATGATGACTGGGGAAAACAAACAAACAAACAAACAAAAAAACACTAGTTTCTCTTTCTGAAAGGTATGTACATTTGAACAATATAAACTGTTGTGCCTGCCACCTGGCTGCAGCAGGCCCCAACTGTAGCTCAAGTTGCACTGAGGGGTACAGGAGAACTGTTCAGCAATTAACTTTGCACATAAGAACATGACACTAGCAAGGCAACCCAAGAACATCATCAACTCTTACTGTGATGTGCCAGAACTGGGAAGATTTGTCTTTCACTTGGGACTCTCAGTTCTCTGATTTCACTCAAAGTTCCTTGGAAGTTGGAATTTTAATAGAACATTTTTGTCATGCTGTGCTTTGGTTTTGAAGAGAATGGTTGAACACCACACACTAGTGACAGATCAGGAAGACTTCACTCTAGTGGGACATCTAAGTCAGGACTGGAGTGATGAAGGCCAAAAGGATATGGAGAGAATTAAAATGTGACTTCAGATACTCGTGCCACTTGCTAGATCACCTTGGGGCACGTGACTGAACAACTCCGATCTGTAGCTTTTTCCTTGACAAAAGAGAGATAACACTTATTAAGTATTTTTAAGAGGTTTGGGAACCATCTGCCAGGCAGTGAGTAGGCAACAAATGGGAGGAGTTATGTTGGTTTCCACCAATGACCCTGCCAATACCGACTGGTGCTACACATGAATCATCCCTCCCATACTCCCACTAGAGCAGTTTTACATGTATTTGTGTGGTTACTTGGCTAATACCTGTCTCTTCTACTGGACTAAAACTCCATTTGCATGGGGATCACTATTACTTTCTTTATCTTTGTATTCCAGTACCTAATAGTAGCTGGCATAGAGAAGCAAAGACCATGTATGTCTTATTCACTACTAAGTCTTCAGGACCTAACCATCTAAATAAATTGGAAACTTAATGGATGAGTGAATAAATACACCAGAGAAACACTTAAATATGAGCAGAATCTATATTGTCCAGTCAAAAGACACTTGAATCACTAAAAATACAAAAGGAGCTTTATGTTACCTGAGGTGGGGGGAAAGCATGGTAAAGGATGCATCTCTATTTCTCATAGAATTTAGGGAAACAGAAAACAGTTCTTTTGAGATCAGGCATCAGGATCCATATGCAAACTATAATGTGAATAAAGAAAGTAAAGCAGAGTAGAGTATTGCTGAGGCTAAATCTACCTGCTTTCCAAACACTCCTAATTTTTCTAGCTATATGCTTAAACTCATAGCTTACTCCAAATTAATAAAC